TTTTAAGACATTTGATTAATTGTATTCGTGAAAAAACCAGTCTGGGTAAAGTGAGCATATATAATAATTAACTGCTTTCTGGCTTTGGCGATTGTAATTGATGATTTTAATTTCTAGTTATTTTTTCATCATATGAAAAGATATTTTACAGATGTTGGCCGATGAAAATCAGCTTTTTTATATTCTAAAGACGATTGATCTATTGTGCAATGGACCTGTATGTATAAATTATCGTTAACCTTAATCATGTCGGGTTGACCCTTGTATCGGATACTTGTCCATATTATTGAATTCTAAAGTACGATCAAAGGTCATAAGTATTTATAAGAGAAATTTAAAGTTAAATTTTGTATCATCACTATTATTGCAATAACATAGGAAGTTGTACTTGAGATTATGACGGCACACGAGCTTCCCGTAATCTTGCTCAAGGCTTTTCAATCGTTCATCGAAATTCCTCAACATACAAAAAACAATGAATCCAATGAACATTTGCTGTCATCTGATTCATTGACATTCGCACCTTCTGGTGTTGTCTCGGATATAGTAACTGACATCCTTATTCAATTTGTGATAAATTCTATTACATTGAACCAAATGCTAGAACAAGACACACTGTATTTATTAGTTACAATGGTAATAAGCGACAGAATATCCCCAATAGACTACAACGGAGAACCATATATTTGGGAAGACAGGTATTGATTGTTAATTTGTTTAATATTGTGAACACTATGCCACATTAATGCATGTTTGTTTTATGTAGAGCGTTGGAAGTTCTTATTGAACTTTTTGCCGTTGCTACGCACGAAACTATCACATATTTTATCAATAAAAATATTTTGGGAACTTTAATGAAAATATTAACAGATAGTATAGACTTAAAGAGTAATAGGTTCATTGGTGGTAAACGGCTAATGTATGCAGGTTCATTACTTTTAGAAATAATACAGGCAAGGGTCTAATTAATTTGGATTTTACATAACACTTTACAAATTGATTTCTACTAAATAAGTTCAACAAATATGAAATTTTTAAACCTAATTTACCTCAAAAGGGAACTATACACGTATCACCAATTTTTTTGGAGAGCTTTTTGAATATGAATGGATATGAAACATTTTATAATTTACTTATATTACCTCCGTTTGACGGACAATATTCAGAAACAAAGGTAATCAAGATCCAGAGTTAATATTAAATCAAAACCCTCAGGATAAATACTTTCTTACCTACTATATAGGATGCAATTATAGAAATGATCGAGGACTTGGCATTTGCAGGAGCAGATGAAATTAAACCAGTTATATCAAATAGAACGCCATATCAACACAATGGTATATTTAATTTATATAATATGCTTTACGTTAGGCAATTTATATTTTCTAATAAAATTTATCGTGTACTTTTAAACATAAGATTTTCATTTACCTAATGAAAATGAAATAAAAGATGATGGTATGCTATTTGATTAGAGATATAGAGATAGGCAAACAACAGCTCGAGCTGATAAAATCAATTTTTTATATGAGATTCGTTATTTAACAAATTATTTGCCTATCTATACATCTGGTTATAGTGCTTGTATTTGAGTTTTTTTAATTAATATTTAAACGTATACGTATTTAGAAACACTTTTTCGTAATGAAAGAGCATTTCAGGTCCTAGCATCTACATTACTGCATCATGATGCGAAAAATGTCGCACCTTTTTTGTCGGATTTTGTCAGTACAAATACTATAAAGACAGTTATCCCGGATATTTTTCAACAAAAAATTGTTGCAGCTATCGCAGAAATTTATAAATCAAACACATTGAACTATTTTTTGACAGAGCATCTAAATGTTCTTCCATCTTTAATTCAGGAATTAGATAGATTTAGTGCTAAAGTCCAGGTTTGTAAAGTTATTAACAATATTGGGAAAACTATGCCCTACATTTACTAAAATGCTTAAATACTAGCGGTCAATATTGGATTTGCTAGTCTTTGTTATGGTGGATTTAAATTATGTGCCGTTTAGAGAACTAGTTGTGTTGTCCTTACATTTTCAAGGTACGTAAAATTTAAATTATAGTAATAAAATGCGTGTGTTGTAATTAGTTTAAATAGTAATATAAAAAAATAACTTGAACCCAAAGGTCAATCCTTAAAACGTACAACTGCTATAGTGTGTGAAACCGTTATATCTCTTTTACAAACATCTTCCAAATTCAAAGAAGTTTTTCGTGAAATTGGATTGCTTGATATGCTATGTAGTTTGCTTCAAGAATTGGCAACTACATTACAAGATAGATTTGGTAACGCACATTATATCAGAAGAATATCAATATCACTATTTGACGATTCATTGAATCCTAATAACAAGGCGTCCAAAGCAAAAAGCCGGTTTGGTCCTGAGGTTATTGAGAATTTTCACCTAATTTCTGAGTGTCTGATAGAAATGTTAAAAGGAAACAGGACAAACATTTCATTATTTGGGGATACGTGAGTATTTTTTTAAGGGATATGTAATTCATCGTCAGTACGCTGCATTGCTACCCCGATAGGTCCACTAGGATTTAAGATCAGATGTAATATTGAGTCGAACAATCGCGATATTCTTCGGAAAGTTGCTTTTAAAGATCTAACAAAAAAAAAAAAAAAAAAAAAAAAAAAAAAGCAACTTTTTAGATTAGGTAATCTTTTTATTATTGCACTACCTCAAATTTATCCCGACTAACTAGCTCTGACCGTCGTTTTTAGAAGTCATCGTTTTAATTCAATTAAAGGGCAGCAACACATTGTACTGGCAATGAATTATAATTTTTTTTATTTAAAGCAGAACTATTAATTAATCAAATATGATTTTAGATATAAAGGCAATTTATTCGATTTATTACATTATGATGAAACTCGAGATGGTGCACTGACTATCTTCGAAACATTGGTTGTAGAAGGATATGTTCTGTCTAATATAGAACCACCTACTCCTATTTCAACAAGCTCAAGAAATTCAGCTTCTTCTACTGTCGAGCACTCATTTCAATTTGGAAGGTTGATTGAAATTGTCCAATCTCTTTCCAGATTCGATCTTAAAATGAAAAGACATATACTTTTATCAATGAAACGTATATTAGTTTCTTGTCCCGAAATGAAGGATGTTTTTCGAGAGTCTGGGGGATTTGTGTGCCTTGTAAGCTTATTAGTAGGTTTAGAGGATGTATATAAACAATTAATACAAAGTTTTGAAGCAAATGAAGCTAAATTCGATGCAACAAATGCTAGTTCATTGAATGATTGTTCAAATTACAATGCAGAAGAACTGCTAATAAAAACTCAGGCGACCGATACATTAAAAGCTATATTCATTGTATTTGCCGAAGCAATGTCTAATCACGATTCTAATCGGCGATTTTTTAGCAAATCTATTGGTTTTAAATCTGTAGAGGACGCCATCTTCCTTACTGACATGTTTAAGTTAAAAGGAGCTCCTGAACATCTTTTTGGAATACTTTTCGGGTTCGCAATTGAAAATGAATCGGTAGCTGATATATTTATAGAACAATATTTGAATGGAAATAATGAGATTACAAATGATAATAATCAATTCAAATTAGAAGAAAAAATTGGTAATTTCACTGATGAAATTCACAATCCAGATGTCATTCCTACAATCATGAAATTGCAGCTTTGTGTTAATCACAATTCAAGGTTATTTTTGAAAATTTATGAGGCTTTAGTTGCTCTTGCTTTTGCGAATAGAAGAAACCAAGTTATGTTAAATAAATCTGGCGTACTTGAAATAGTTTTACATCGATTATTTCCTACATCGATTCAAAATAATGAAGCGGAAACAATTAATACTAATAATCGCACTCGAGAAAAGCGATTCTTAACCAAATTAGCGCAAAGGCTGATTGAAATGGGAGTTACTACAAAGGATATCCGTTTTCTATTCGAACAATTTGAAAATGGGAGCCAACGTCCTAAAGAAAATGCCACTGATGCCGATGGGGCTTTTCTGACCGCTATGGACATGGTTTTGTTTGGCGTTCAAAGAAGTCGATGGCCTCGGTTTGTCCAATTTGACATGTGCCAGTTTGGTTATTCTTGTTTAGAGATGAGCAGTTTAAGTGATCGTCCATTTCCACCTGCAACTGGGGGATACACATTTATGAGTTGGCTTGATATTGAAAATTTTGACTCTGAAACGAATTTGACTCTTTTAGGGTTAAGTGATGATGAAAAGAAATGCTATTTGCAGATTTATTTCGAAGCTCAAACTCATAAACTTGTTGTTCAAACATCGCCAAAACAAACGACTCGATTTGATAATTTTGAATTTCGAACTGGTTATTGGTATCATATTGCGCTCGTACATCGCCGACCACGTATAGGGCAGTCATCATTGATAACGCTTTACGTAGATGGAAAATCCGTAGATGAGCAAAAGTGTTCTTATTTAGGACAACCAGTGACTAATCGATCAATTAGAACATTTATTGGAACGCCGAAAGACATCGCCAAAAAATTGGGCAAGGGTCAAACTAAACTTGCATGGGATCTAGGTCCTTGCTATTTTTTTGAAGACGATCTGGATGGGGATATTATTAGTGTTTATTGTCACCTTGGGCCTAGGTATTCCTCTAATTTTCAAGACTCTTTAGGTCAATTTCAGACATATCAAACATCCACACTACTTAATATGAGGCTTGAGACCTTGAGTCGCCAACGTGGAGATTCTAACATTGAACTGGATAATTTACCTATAGTTAATGCAATTCGTGGTAATAATAGTCAGACCTTGCCTGAAGATAAAATAATTTTTGCATTCAATGCAAGTAATGTTCTTGTTTGCGGTCAAAATGCAAATATATTGGGTGCTGGTCTTTCTGAAGGCACATCACAAGCATTGCTTGGTAATATTAATACAAAAGTAATATTAAACGCTGCTGTTCCAAAGGTTGAACGTGCCCTAAGAGTACCACATGGATTAGCTTACTTACATGGTGATCCAGTAACAGCCGTTCCATATGGGATGGATGATTCTATTTGGAAGATCGGTGGCTCTGCTGTAGTCTTGAGGCTAATTGAAAGGGCAGAAGTATGATCTAATTCACAAATTACTACTCTTGTCTAGAATAACGTTTTAAAATTTGTTTTGTTCTGTTTTCTTTAGACCGCAAAAGATTTGTATAAAACAGTTTGTACTCTAATTGAACTAATTCGATTTAATTGGC